CACCACGTTCTACACAGGTACTGTAGTTCTCGTTAAAGATGCTGGCCACATGGTAGATATCCAGTATTTCTCCTCCCTCTCTTGTCCACCTCCCTTCATCTCTTCTGCCCTTCTACCCATCCTGCCTTGAGGTCTTCCTTTGTCTCATTAGTGTAGGTTCCCAAAGGGGAGTGAACAAGTTGGTATCAATTTTTAAATCCTTGGGTTATAATTATTTCTTATGCTGCACCCTTTAGGACTTTAAACATATACACATATATGTGTGTGTTGATATATATATATGCATACATATATGGACACATATAGTAGATTAATACATACTTATAATTATACACATACATATATACATAAGTGTGTGTATGTATCTTCATGCTTTCTATAGTAATAAAGAAATCTTCACTGCTTCAAATATTCATAGTAGGCTATTAGATCTTCAAGAAGAAAGTAAATTCCAAAGGTTGTTGGGCCTCCTGAAGGCTCCTCAAAGCTTCCCAATCAGCTTCTTTGTCTGGGTCCTCTCTGTAGAAATCTGAATGTAACCCAAGGTTCCTTGAAATACCAGACCATGAGCAAGGGGAAGACACACACATGGCAGTGGGATACTTGATCCAGCACTGCCATTTGGTTGAAAGTTCTGTTCAGCTTTCTGTACTGTTTAATTTGTTTCAAATGAAGAAATACATGTTCCACCCATACTTGAGATGGAGCCAGGCTGCATGACTTCACACTGCCTTTAGGACAGCCTTGGATTGCACAACTGCTTAGCTTGTTTGCTCCCAGCATCCTGATTTGGAGGAGCTCCTATAAGGTTCCAAATGGACGACTGGGCCTATGAAGAGGGTCCCTGTCACCACGGCTGGCCGGGTTTGGGGATGTTAAGCAAGTGGTATATATCTATGTTCTTCAGTTGAGATGGCATCTGCAACAGAGACAATCCTTCTCCGAGGGAGAAAGCCTGGAACATCATATTGGGCCTTTTTCTTTACCACTGGCTTTTTCCCTGTGTAATTATGTCTGCTCTCTTCGGGTGGACCATTTCTCTACTTGTGATCACACAACACAGAGTGTCCCTTGGTACATTCTGTTCCTTTTATTAGGTTTCTACCCAGTTACAGGAACACACTCAACTCTTCTCCAAACAGCCATTACTTGCTGAAATTTAAAAAAAACCATTTCAGGGAAATAAAGGCTCACTCGGGGAGAAGCCTAAAATCTTTTAAAAATAAGTTCACCGGAAACCTTTTCTTTGCAGTCTCACGTAAAGTTAGATAGTAAGAGGTAGATGATAAATAGACAGACAGATATAATAGATAAATTTGATGGATGAGAAAGAGATGGTAGACAGATGATAGATAAATAATTATGATATATAAAAGACAGAAGATATGATAATATATAGGGCATGATGATAATTAAATGATAGAGCTAAGTGATAGATGTTTACACAAATGATTGAAAATAAATGTACATAGATAGTACAGGACAGATAGATGATAAATAGCTACCATCATATAATATTTATATTAATTACTCTAATTTAATAATATTCAGTTTCAAAGGAGATGTGGAAATAATGTTTCCTCTGTTGCCTTTGACCTGGATGTTAGTAAACTCGGGGTCTTATTTTCCTTCATCATAGGATGAGACTGCAGAGCCAAGGGAAGCAATGGAGAACAGAGACGGTAGTTTTGGAGATAAGGAAGGAAAATATGAAGTCCGAATTTTGCTAGAAGTCCAGTCACAATCTTTGATAGAATCAAAGGAACTAGTTGCTAATGATGAGTTTTCCAGGACAGTCTTGCAGGCTACATGTCCTGGCTTTTCATGTCTGTGTGCACCTTGTAATTTCTAGCTTTAATTCACAAGCGATATATGCTGGGTTTGGGGTAAGTACCCCAGGGACAGGAAACCTGACTCTGCCCTTTGACAGCCCAACAGGTACAGCCTTGCTTCTTATCGTCGTTCATGGAAAACTGACCTTGTCTCCTGACCGGTGACTTAAGCAAGCACAGTACGTATTCAGGTTTTAGTTTTGCCCTTGAGGAAGGTAAGAAACATCGCCATTGGAACATCAATGTAGCCTGTATGGGTAGAAGAATTTGGCTCAATAGCTCAGTGTGCCCAGAAAAAGGCTGAGCTGCCCATTCCATTGCAAATGGACAAGTACCAATGGCCCAGGGACTTGGACACTGAGGCTTAGGAAAGGCCCATATTTTCCTTCTGACCTTTGTCACTGAGGACATGCTGTTAGGCTGACCCCTAAAGTGTGACTGACCAAAGCTGTCCTTCCACAGGGTAGGTCCTAACATTGTTCAATCACACATTAATTACAAAAACAAAGGCAGATAATACAGTTTATGGCAGTAGCTTAGCCTTTGCTTCCAGACGGAGCTGCTTTCAAATTCTACAGCAGTGCTTGGGGGAGTGGTACACACCTGTAAGCCCAACACCAGGGGGCTGAGCCACCCTGGGACCCATTTCACAAACCAGAAACAATGGAGAAAAGAGAAACAAAAACCTACACCAGAATTGTCTTATAGAATAGACCTCAACTTAAAATACATACAATACATACATGTATGTATTTTAGTAATTATATAAAATAATTTTAAAGAAAACCAGGTGAAATTAATTTTAACTAATGCTTTATTTAAATTCATGCATACCCAAGAATGTCTAGATATGCAAAAAGGATAAAAATGATTATATTGAGACATCTTAAATTTTGCACATGTTCCTACCTAAGTCTTTAAAATTCTAGTGGGTATCTTATACCTGTAACCTGTCTCAAGTCAGATTGGCTATTTTTAACTTCCCAGGACCCACACGTGACTCGTGTATTGGTGTATTGGTGATAGAGTTCTAGACCCCCCCCACTTGCCAACTACTTGGCTGTGAGGAAGTGATCAACCCACCATGAGCCCCCACTTACTCTCCCATGACACGGTGCTAGATAAAATATTGTTAGGGGCTAGAGAGCGTGCTCAGTGCTTAGAAAAGCATACCACCCTTGTAGAGGACCCGAATTCCCTTGGGACTACAGCTCCAGGAGGCACAACACCCTCTTTGGGCTTCTGTACACATTTCACTCACATGTGCTCACACACACACACACACACACACACACACACACACACACAAACACACACACAAACACACACACCACAAAACTAAAATTCAAATAAATTTTTAAAAACACATCTACATGAAAGGTTAAGTGTGAGAGCAAATCAGCAGAGAGCGGACAGGGTCTGACGACACACTGCCGTTACTATTGCCTTGCGGTGATGGTCATTCAACTACCTACCTTTCAATAGTTCTGGACATGTCGTGCCACCGAAAGGTTAGTCTACAGAGCTAAGAAATGCCCTCAGGGTTGACTGATAGCTTGATCCATTTGAGAGATACGGGTCTGGAGAGTTTTACACATCGACCACCACGATGGAGATGTGTGGTCCCAAGCTACAGTCTGGAAATGAAGAGGAGTTCATGATGGCAAGGACCGCCATGCCCCCAGTGCAGAACAGGTGTAAGACTACCAAAATGGATGCTCAGCAATGAGCCGGAACAGAGCTCAGGATTTCCCCTCGTAGCTATTCCCAACAAGTAGGCAGACATGCAAATCAGGTGTTCTCCTCTTCACCAGAAGGTAAATAAACAACTGGAGGCTGGCTCAGCCATGCTACATTTAGCTAGTGTACAGGATTCCCTACTGCATTTAGCTAGTGTGTTCAGGATGCCCTACTGCATTTAGCTAGTGGACAGGATGCCCTAAATTTGGGTCCCAGCACTGCCACTAGAAAGAAGAAATGAAGGAACCAGGTGGTGGTACACACATTTAATCCCAGCACTTGGGAGGGCTTCTGTGAGTTCAAGAGCAGCCTGCCTACAAAGCTAGTTCTAGGACAACTAGGGTTGTTACACAGAGAAACCCTGTCTCATAAAAATAGAAAAAAAAAGAAGGAAAATAAAGAAGGAAGAAAAAATTCAGATAGTAACAGGAGTGAACGGGAAAATTTCTAAGGCTTTGGGGGCTGCTAGGTGGATTTTTGTCGTTGCCTGGCCTGTATACTACAGTTTCATTATTCCCCACCAATTAATTGTGGTATCAACTGGGATGGGTGACACATTTTGGTTAGCTCACTCTACACAGAACCCTGGACTCAGGTCAGAGAGGAATGGGTCCTCCACTTAAGATCAAACAAGATGTGATGGCAGAAACAAGTGACAAGATGGCAGAGAAGGGACCCATTCTCTAATCTGCTTCCACGTTCAAACTGATGGCTTGCTTCTGACATGTGGACCACACGGCAGGCACCAGCTAAGTTCTTGCCTTAGACAAACTGAGAAGAGCAGACCGAGTCTCAATTACTTTCCTCTTAGTTCTATTTATTAAGAGGCTGGCAACTCACTTGAGAAGTGGGGTCCCATAGGTAAAAACTGAGGAGATCTGAGGGAACAGCACTGTGTGTGTGTGTGTGTGTGTGTGTGTGTGTGTGTGTGTGCGCACAGCGCTATGGGTAAAACTGGGACAGACGTAACTGCTCCCAAGCAACGACCCCAAAGTGCACATGGCTTTTGTTATATCTGGCCGGCTCAGTAACTATCCAAGTTATGGGGCGACAGGGGATCCTGTCTAGACCAGTTCTTTTGGCCTTGGGATTGGCAGAACATAGAACCAGAAAGCCTAATCATGGCCCAAATATCTCTGCTTTTTTTTTCTTTCTGGTAGACAGTCAAGCTGGGTGGAAACTAAATCCCAAACAATCACCAAACAGTAATAAATGAGAAAATAAAAAGACAGTAAAGCCTTTCTTCGGCCTTTGATAGCTATGCCGGCTCTGAAGCTGTAGCGTGGTATTTCTGAAGTGAACAGCTGAGAGATAAAAGCGCAGAAGACAGCTTGAAGCACAGCTTTTCCCGGGGACCAGTCATCTCGTGATACCACATGCGTCTTCTGGTCTCAAACACGATGCTTTGACAGGAAGAACACAGCAACATACAACTGAAATAATTTATTTACCACTAGGAGCACCACAAAAACCAGACATACATTGTGTTAAAATACAGCATAGTTGGTCATCAAAACACAGAACAGCTATTCTTAAAGTCCATTCTTTAAAAACCACGCCAGCCGTAAAATTGTACTGTTGCTTAACACTTACAACCTGCTGCCCCTCCCATATGCTAACACACCCCTCCCCCTCCTACCACCCTTCCCATGGCAATATTCACTAATGGGAAATAAAGACCTGTAGACCCCACAGACTTTTAAAAAAAAAAATGAAAGTAAGATTCAAGAAATCTTAAAAAAAAAAAAAAAAGCAGTCAGTGCATTCAAGAAGGAGAGACAAACCCATACAGAATAAAACATCATTTTATCTGAGGGGAAGATATCTTCAGAACTAAGAGGGATTTACATAGAAATAACAGAAAAGTGGAGGGGGAAGGAAAATGAGCGCACACAGACAAAGCTGGGCTTGCGCTACACCCGACACACCGGTCGTTCACCAGCGCTTGCTCTTGTCTGTCTTCCGGCTTGCGAATCCCGTTCTTCATCTTAATGAATATGGAGGAAAGCTCCTCCCCAAAGTATGTCATATCAAAGAACTTCTCTTTGTATTCACACCTCACTGAGTTGCCCTTTGGGTAAGACCATAAATAACCCATTGTTTTGTGAACTAATTTGTATTTTGAAGCTAAATACGTAAAGAGGATGCCCTGCAAAGCCCAGTGTCAGGTCCTGGCTCTGAAAGAGAGGACAACCTGGCTCCTCACACCACAGCCCACCGCAGCTGTAGACCATTCTCACTCAGGTAAAAGGAAGAAATTCGTTTGTGCTTTTTCAGCCTTCAACTAATTTCTTTCCAAACCTGAACTTCAGGGAAGTTAATGAAATGATGAATGTGATCTGGACATTTCCCCCTTTGGAAAACTCAAAATGGGCATCTTTCAATTTTTCCCCTGAAACCAAAGGCTGATTAAAGAAAGGGGTGTCTTTGCTTTTCAGCTGTCTGCTTTTTAACCGTAATAAGATTCCACAAACATATGAATTAAAGGAAGCTACAGAATTTTTTTCCTAGCCCAGTCACCGAGATTCTGAGTTCAGATTCTTAAACCCTCTCTAAAACGACATCTGTGCTCACACACCTTGTCTTCCCAGGAGGAACTTCATCCTCCAGTCTACCTAGTTAGTCATGACCCAGAAAAGATGGAGGGGAAATATAGAACTTAAACATATCTTTTTAGTTCTCTTTGTTTGTTTTTGTTTTATGTCTTTTGGGAAAGAGAAGAAAAGGGAAAAAATGGACCCAGGTATCTTATACCATTAAATGGACAATACATAAAAGCCAAGCAGAGAAGATAATATTTAAAACAATGAATTTGTACTGCGAGCCAAAATCTAGGGGTTTTATTCGAAAGTACTGGCCAGCTAAAGGAAACAAACATACAATCTGAATGATCATTTAAAAAAAAAGCTCAAATTTAAGTTCAATCTAAATCACAATCATTATTACAGAATATCAAAAATATGGTAAGGATCTACATATTACATATAAAGTAGTTAATGTTTTGATTTAATAGTTTGTAAAACAGATCTGCAGATGTGTTTTCAATTATGCTGGCTTCTAGACCCATCTATTTTAATAGTATCAGTGTGATTACATATACCAAGACAAAGGAAAAAACCTGTATCGGAGCTCAACAGCCACTTCACGGTCCAAAGTCTGACAATACACGTCAAAACGGGTCAACATTTCACTGGCTTGCTTAAACTGGCAAAGAACCATTTACAATGAAAAGGGAAAAAAAAATCTTCCAGATTCCCACTGACTTCAAGTCTTTTTGTTAACAGGCCTTCTCAGTGTATGGCCACCCGTGAAGCTTCCATAGCAGTTGGCACACAGCACGTGTTCTGGGGGCGTCTATACATTTGCAGACTTGCCCGGTCATAGAAGGACTCACGGGGTCCCATCCCGGCGTGACCTCCTGTGTTTCCAGCTGGTTTGAGTTCAAATTCTTTAAGCCGTCCATGAGTTTGTGGCAAAGCATTTGGTCTCCACTTTATACACCTGTTTGTTTTCCAAGGGTAATGAAAAGTTCATTATATAGTAACACAATAAATAACCCACTGTTAGCTCAGAGGAAGGGACAAGGAAGTGCCCAATGCAGAGCAATACAGAGGAACCAGGAGAAGCTTGGGGTGAAGTGTGGGGTGGAAACAATACGTACAACTCCACTAAACGGATTTTCCTGTTTTGTTTTGTTTTTCTTTCACATAATTAATACTAACAAATTCTTCCAGTGTTTATTTTTTCCTTTTAAAAAAAGATGTTTTCTTTTTGTGTCTCTCACGAAGTAGGTGAAACGCAGACTAAAGCCTTCCATGGTTTTTTGTTGTTGCTGTAATCTCAGATGCCAGTTTTAACAAACAGAACACAAGCTTGCAAAATGTTTGAATGAGTACCACTTTTTCTCCAACTTTTTTTTTTAAAAAAAAACACTGATGAATCCAAACTCCCTTGCGTCACAGACATCATCATCGTCATTGTGGTTGTTATGTGTCATTGTCACCGTGATTTTCGTGTCGTGGCTTTTCTGAGGATCTTAGCTGCACTTACAAGACTTGACGATCATGTTGGAAAGTTGTTCGATCTTGGGTGTGTTGCCAATATAGTAGAGGATGGTCAGTGGCTCCAGATCTTGGGACACACAGCAAGGGGAAGCAGAAGCTTCGGGATTTATGGTATTGTACAAACTGAGGACCTGAGAGACACAAGACAGGGGCACATACAAAAGCAAGTGATGAGTTTCATTTGTTTTTACATTTTATACGTGTGTGTGTGTGTGTGTGTGTGTGTGTGTGTGTGTGTGTGTGTGTGCAGCTGCAAGCAAGGGCCAGGGGTTGATGATGGGTGTCCTCCTCAGTCTCTCTCCACTTCTCTATCTATCTATCTATCTATCTATCTATCTATCTATCTATCTATCTACATATCTGTCTCTAT